ATACTGATTTTTAAGTTACAGTTAGAAGATCTTGAACCTTCAGAAAAGAGCTCTCTCACCTTGAAACCATCAATTAGCAAAATCACAACAGACAAAGAGTAAAAGATGAGAGATGAAGCTGAACATTTTATTTATTTATTTGATTTGTCAATCACTTACAAAGTAATAGGTATAAGTATTAACATGAGTAAGAATACACAAAATAGGTATGATTAAATGGGGACAATAGGACAGGAATGGGAGGCACGATGGTGCACTTATGCACACCCCTTAACATGAGTGCATGATATTGAATGAACCAAGATCCAGTTTGTTCCTCACCATAATTACACTGATTGTTGATTTTTTTTCATTGCACTGAAAAATTAGCAATAAGGAAACCAGGTTCAACTTACTTGCATTAACATTCTAGAACCTGGAAGTCACGCTGAAGAAAATCTTGCTTTTTGTTTTCACCCATTTTGGCATTCAGTACTGTTACAGATAATCCTTGACTTAAAACAATTTGTTTAGTGACTATTCGAAGTTACAGCATCACTGAAAAAAAGTGATTTATGACCATTTTTCACACTACCGACCATAGTCACATGGTGAAAATTCAGATGCTTGGTAACTGATTCATATTTATGATGGTGGAAGTATCCTGGGGTTATGTGATCCCCTTTTGCAAACTTCTGAGAAGCAAAGTCAATGAGGAAGCCAGATTCAGTTAACAACCAAGTTACTAACTTAACAACTGCAGGAAGGAAGATCATAAAATGGAGCAAAACTCACTTAACAAATGTCTCACTTAGCAACAGAAATTTTGGCTTCAATTGTGGTCCTAAGTTGAGGACTATCTCTACTGATCTGCATGGCCAAGGTAAAATTACCGTGGTCCTTAATCCCAAACTGTTAGCATTTTAAAATAAAAAATGCAACAACCTGAACTAGACTAAGAAACAGCTCTCATCTATATTATTGTTTTAGAAAAGCCTGAAAGCTACAATTTTAAGATATTTAAGAATTAAATGCTTATAATTCTAAACCTAGTTTTTACAGGTTACCACCATGAAATAAATCCATATTTAAGGTAGTCTTCTTCAAAATTAATACTGAGTAGTAGCAGGGGTGGGATTGTACCAGTTTGCACCTATTCTCTGGAACCGGTTGTTAACATTCTAAGCCGTTCGGAGAACTGGTTGTTGGAAGAAATTACTGGCCTAATCCTGTAAGGAAGGCAGGAAGGAAACATTCTGATGTTGTTTACAGAAACTGCCTCTCCATTAACCCTTATTACATTCTTAGCAGGACTAGACTTCCTGTCTCAGGAACTTCTCTGGAGTTGTTTCCTCTCCTTTGCTGGTACTTTGCTTGTGTGGAGTGACCATTTAAAGTTACAATGGCACTGAAAAAAGTGACTTATGACCATTTTTCACACTTACGACTGTTGTAGAATGCCCACAGTCATGAGAGGCCAGGTGAGGAGAAGCGTGCTTTAATGTGAGTGATATTGAGTTGGCCACACCCAGACAATAACATGACCATCAAGCCATGTGCACCCAGTCACATGACCACCAAGCCGCGTCCACCACCTAAGCCATGCCCACAGAACCGGTTGTTAAAATTTTTGAATCCCACCCCTGAGTAGCAGTTAGATTTTATCCTTGAGTTACAAATTTGAATATTCCCATTAGATATTCTTGGTTAAGAATGTGCATTTAGATGATTGGGTTTTCTTTTCTTTCCCTTTTAAAAAAAAAAAACGAAAAGAGTTCTCCAATTTATAATCCCTGTAGCTTGATTCAAGGCATGTAACTTACTTCAACTATTAGGCTCAGAATGAACAAGAGAAATGGCAGATAGTGATATATAAGATCTCAAGAGATCTTCTGACAAATTCTCACGATTATTGGCACAATTTCTCTGCTCTGCTCCCAGAAGGGAAATAGATTCTATGGCAGTTGAAATGTGTATTATTAAACTTCTTAAGTGATCCAGAATGTTTCCCAATAGGCATTGAAAAATTTTCTAAGTATAGCAAAGTTGAAATTCTTAGGTCTTTCCCATTCAACCCCCATTCGATTCCATCCAACAATCTTTAAACTGGCCTATCATTATTCCATTAAAATAAATCAAAATCCATGTCACCAGAGCTTATTACAGCTATGTAGGGTACTTCCATTCTGTTCTGCTAAAGACAGCCAGATGGGAAAATCTGAGGCCAGATAAAAAGCTGAATTGGCACCAGGTTTAACTTCACATTCCAATAAAACAAAGTTGCAATGCTAAAGGGTTTTGCTCACTATGCTATGACCATTTCCAGTTTGTACCTCCTGGAACTCTTATTTTTTATTTTTTGGTAGTTCTCCGAATTGTGAGGTGCTGATTAAAAGAAGAAGATAAGCCATCTTTTAATTATGAAGTTTAACATAACCAGAATGTTTACAGCTGAAAACAATCGTGTCATTATGTGATATGTATCTTGTGCAAAAAAAAATCATAAATCCATAATTAACTACCAATTTATTATTTTTAAAAAAGAAAAGCAGACGAATGGAGAAATGCAGAGGAATAGATTTCCAAAAAACTTCAAGGAACTAATATGAGTCAGAAATGGTTGGGCATTCTCTTTGGCCAAGTACCTCTGATGGTCCTATTAATGGCAGGCAGAGGATTGCAAAATGTCTTCCATTTTGAATTTCTCTTACTGACCTGATGATTGAATGAAGAAGGGAGCAGGATGGACATGTTGAAGTGGCAAATTATTTACAATTTGGGTAAACAGAGATTTTCATTGAGTTCTTCTCCTGATGACTCCATGGAATCTTTTTGTGGTTTTCTTGGAAGTTAACCACTTCAGTGCTTTAGTGCCTCCTTACATTTGTCCAACTTCCCATCTACTCTACAATGCTGAGATACCTGATAGTCTTCTGGAAGCCATCTTTGGAGATGGCATTGTAATTGGTTCTATTCAACCAATTTAAACTATAAATATTTGGAGACCTCTTGAGAAATATGGGTGTGGACCATTTTGTTGATGTAGAGTGAGTGCAATAATTATTCTCTAAATTAATGCATATCAAAATATGATGATCTGATCATCTTTGCTTAAATCATTTTGCAATGATTTTTGCATTTTTGCATATATATTTTTTTGGCTTTTCTCTGACTTCATTTTTTTCTGTCCAAAACCACATCTGTAGTTGTATTGAACACCAAGATACCGATTTGATTGAAAGGAAAAATAAAACCAGTGATCTTCTCCAGGATTTGCCCTTTATTGGGAAACCTCTGAATTAGACTCTTTTAGTCCTTCTGACATATCAAGCTGGAACAGAATTAGAGAAGAAATTCTACATTACAAGATAATGTAGTTCCTTCTGGATGACCAAGATGGTTCTTTAAGGGTTATTCATTGCTTTGCAGCAATATTGTAATCTCAAAACAATCTTAATTGTCTAAGAGATCTATTTTATCATTTCTTGCTCAGCAAAGTTGATAATTGATTATTTGATTGATTTAATTTATTTGATTTGATTGATTTGATTTGATTGATTTGATTTGATTGATTTGATTTGATT